GAAATCACAACTTACTATGTGAACCCAAGCATTATTTTTTGAATGTACGCTCTGTAAAAGAAAACAAACAAGAAACGCTTGTTGCGACAAACAGGGCACATCTGTGAGCTGAATTAGGCATATGGCTGCAGCTTTATAAAGTCTGAGACACAATGCTTGCTGGGCAGCAGCCACGAACACTCTCTTGGCCTTTTGACGCCCAGCCACAGGATCGCCGCTCTCTTCCTGGTTCACTGTCACCTCAGGATTTACAGTTGTATAATTTATGCCTCCCATGATATAAAATGGCACCCATTTACAGGATTGGAGTAGAAATATATCCTCTCCTCCTCCATGTGTGCACGTGTGTGCCCATGAGACGTTCTGAGTGATAATGACTCAATCCGAAGGAAGCGTGCCCAGGAAGAGGTGAGTATGGGGTTGAGATTGGCAAACTTTGACGTTTTTGTTTATTGACTCTTTCCATGCATTCATTATTTAAGTTTAAAAAATCTTACAAAAGAACTCACTGTTCCCTGGGTATTGGCCTGCCAGTTGTTTAATTAGCTACAGTTCTGCTCCAGCGTAAGTCTCCTCTGGACCCTCATTCTCCAGTGGCCAACGGGAGGGCTGTTGAACAGCCCAGGCACCATTCTACTTGTCTTTGAAATCTCAAAGCACAGGCTCCTGGCACAGAGAGGAGATTTCATACTGACTGCCTCACACACAGAGAATATGCAAAGTGGGGACTGCCTCCCCAGTAACAAGATAATCATTCATAGGCAAAAAACTAGCAGGGGGACCCCCTGTTTTCCTTTCCCCTAGAAAGGAAATTTAACCAGCTTCCCCTTATAAGAGCTGAAGGTGTCAAGAGCAACTATTTTTTTGTGTGTGTGCGACATTTTAACACAACTTTGGGGATTTTAAAAGTCACAAAAATAACAGGCTCTAAGCATCAACCATGGTCTGTTTACTATTTAATGAAGTAGGTCTTGAGATTTTATGTTCAAACAGCAAATGGGACAATAAAGTGAGTGACTGATAGAGGAGATGTATAACCCTTCTAAAATATTACTGTTTATGTCTTCCAGTTGTACCTTATAACCAATATACCTTGATATGATGAGATTTAAAATGGCCAACAGGAAGGAAAACGGTCTTTCTTTTACAGGACTAATCTCACAGCATTTATGCTTGATAGCTACTTACTTAGTGAAATTTCCTCTTCTATAGTTAACGCTTGATATCTATCCCAATGTATAACACAGTCCACTTTAAAAATATATCATCAAATGATCATTATTTTAAAAGAATTATTTATTTATTTATTTTATGTATATGAGTACATTATAGCTATTGTCAGTCACAGGATAAGAAGGCATCAGATCAGATTACAGATGGTTGTGAGCCACCATGTGGTTGCTGAGAATTGAACTCAGGACCTCTGGAAGAGTAGCCAGTGCTCTTAACCACTGAGCCATCGCTCCAGCCCCAAATGATCACTATTCTTATGGTTCTTAACAGGTATTACATTTTCTAGTCAAAGTTACACATAGACTTACAGATATCTTCTATACTACAGAGCAAAATTTCATAAACTGAACTCAAAATAAAATATAAATTTAAAATAATATTCATTTACCTTTCTAACTCGTATTTCAAATGGAAATGTAGGAAAGTATAAACACTATGTACACTTATATAAACCATTCCCATATGCTATCTATCTAAAAGTAACAAAATATTTCCATCTCATAAACATGTATCAATATAAAATCACTATAGTCTTATATAAGTTATAGTTTGAATATTTCTGTGAAACAAAGAATAGCTTAATATCTAAAAATTGTGTGAAAGTGTAAATGTTGTTAAATACAGATGCATATTCTCATAGAACTATTTTATTCATATAGCTAGTGGCTACAATAATTTACAGTTATTTCTAATTATTTATCTGTATGTTTAAGCTATTACTAAAATATTTATCTAAACATAGAAAACTAAATAGATTTAACAGAAACATATCAAAAGAATAAATTTGAAATTTCTTGTTTTATAGGTTGAGAAACAAGAGAAAATAATTAACAAAATAATTTTCTAAATCAAAATGGTACTATTTCTTGAAAATGCAAAGAATATTAAGATTATGATTATACTAACTTTCGTTGTTTAAAATAAAATACTTGGCTTTAGATAAATAATGCTAAATGGCAACTTTTGAAAAATTATAAAGTGTTATAAAATTTTATTAATATTTCAGTGGGGTTTTTAGTGTGAACTGTTAGCAGGAAAAGATTGATATTTGAAAAAACAAACAAACAAACAAACAAACATTAGTGAAACACCAGTGAGACAAATATATTCAGATAAAAATATCATACTTCTAGCCAAGCTGCCACATGTCTGCAATCCTAGACTGCAGGAGCCTGCAGTAAGAGGGTTATAAATCGGAGGCCAACCTGGGATATACATCAAAACCCTGCATAAAAGTAAATAAACAAACAAGCAAACAGTGAAATGTATAGTGTGTGTGTGTGTGTGTGAGTGTGCCTGTGCATGCGCATGTGCGTGTGTGTGTATAAAACAATATTTTGGATACACATTCTTTCAAGTTCCATTAAAATAGAGTTTCCTACGTTAGGAGAAATGCAAGATAATATCTAAAACATATGAATAGTTATGGGAACTATATACAAGTAGAAAAGAAATAAATTACAGTTTACAAGGTTCAGATGCACTCTGGCACAAATGTCGTGAGTACTGTCCCTAACATATTTTCCAGTGTATCTGTACTCTCCTGGAGGTAGGCACACAGTCCTGGTGAATGCAAAGCCAGTAACATACAAACTTCAATACCTGAGCTGTGGTCCTCGGCAGGAGGAGAAACATAGCAAAATCACATGCTGAAATTCCTAAAGTTCATTTTTAATTTTCCTTGGTGCAAAATACATTTGCATGACTAATTTTGTCTGCATATTTAAAAAGTGATATAAATGTGCTTTACATAAAGTTACACTGAAAAAATATACTCTATACTTATAAAACATGACAGCAGTCTACAGTTAAAAGCATATGCCCTTAAAGACAATTGAAATTTGCCATATTTGGATATACAGATTCTGGAGGTGGCCAATATAGTCATCCTATAATCTTCATAAAACCTATAAGAAAAAAATGCAACTTCACATGTTAAAAAAAGAAAAGAAAAGTTCTGAATAAAGTTCAAAAGATTTGCTTCTTTTCAAGCTCTTCATTATGTGTCCTTTCCCCCAGAAACTTTAAAACCATCTGCATTAATCAATCCCTCTCTTTGTCCATAAAAGATGAAAAGAACAGGTGTAAGTTGGGAACACTGCCAATGTGAGGCAGGATTATCACTCCCAGGTAAGGACTCCCTGGGAAATCCCCTTTCCTTGTGTGTGGTGGGTGGATGCTTTGAAATGGCTAGGAATCCCGACCTGGATTGTTATTACTTCCTGTTGCAGAGATGATGGGAAAGTTAGGCCCCTGAATAGTTTTTATTGCATGACTTCCTCTGACTGACCCTAACGAAGTATGCTCCCATGTTATAATAAAGCCTGATCACAACGGAATGGTTATGACCTCTCTCAGGTGAGGCCAGCTATCAAAAGGATGAAGACATCAGTCTTAGAACTTAAAATCAAATCATACTAATATCAGTAAAAACATAACCAAAGACTCCAGAATCTAGGCAACATCGCCATTTCAGCCTGGCAAATCTGAGCAGAGGAACCAGCCAAGTTCCTGGTGTCCTACCCCATGAAAACTATGCAATAAATACATGCAGTTTTACAAATAACTACAGTTTTAATAATTTTTAGGTAAAATAAAGCTAATAGCAATAGGAATACACTAACACCACTCTCTAAAGACATTTTGCTAAGAGAGCTTTTACGTTTTTAAAACCATTGTAATTTTTCAAGAATCTCAAGACCTTTGTCATGCGTAAATTCATGTTTTATATCAGAAGTTCTGCATTTTATTCTGTGAGCCTCTCCATTTCTTGCATTTTGAGAATAAATTTGATCTAGACAGAGATGTGTGGTTTATGTAGTGCATTATATTGGTATAAAGACATACATTCTAGCTTTATAAATTCCTCATAATAATAGAGAGATCGGGTGGAAAAGCACAGTCAGTCCCAACGTCTACTGCAATTGCCTTTAAAAGCTGAACCCATGCAAGGAAGGGGTTTCTTATAACCAAAAGCCACAGCAGAAGCATGGCGAAGACAAACTGGCAGGGGACTCAAGCCAAGACTTGCACAGAGAAAAAACAATAACAACAAACCAAAGCACTATTTAGACAAGCAGCTAACACTCATCAGTTTGCTAATGTCTGCTTGAAGTTCTCTAATTCCATCCCTGTGTCCGTTCTCTAAGATATATCAAGCAGTGTATTGAGATGTGTTTGCATGTGATACTTATATTTAATGTACAACTATTTAGGTACACCTACAGTACCTCAATCAGGGGCAGTCTATGGTGGAAGCTATTGAGTACTTTGATGGTGCTAATTATATTTTACCTATTAATACCTATTATACTAAGTAGTACAAGTACTATCTGAAAGAAGCATTAGTATAAATGAATGGCATTCTTTATAAAGTACAGTGTGCAACACTTTATTCATATAGATCTCATTGTTTATGTTGATCTCTTTCTGAATCTGTCTGTACACACACACAAACACATACACACAAATATATACTCTGTTTTGGTGAATTTATTAGTAAAACATATGTAAGAGCACTGCAGACAACACACATTAATATTGGAAAATCTGTTTCAAGCAGATGAGTTAAGCAGATGAAATTGTTTGGTGAATAAACAAATAAATACACAGCCGGTTACTTAGTTCACAGGTTGAGTGCTGACAGGGATTTTAAAGACACCAAGAGATCAGTCCTCTGTCTCAAGTACATTAAATAAGTACAACTCAGTGGTTTTATCTTTCATGAGGGAAATAGCACAGTCTTTCTTTTGGAGGCTATTTCTTACCTCTGAATGGTGCCCAACTCTGATGAAGGCACAGTGTGGATCAAAGGCTCCAGTTGCACAGGTCAGAAGGTGTGTCCTGTTGTAGTGATGCAAAACCCGGACATAATTGGCACACTCATTCTAAAGAGGATTCAGAAGGGAACACACAGTGTTAGAATGAAACAAATGTTTAACCTGCCTTTGATCTTTGCTGTCTTTCAGTCCTAGAACATGAGTCTGAATTCGGAGGGAAAGGAAGGAACGGAGATGAGGGCCTGGGAGAAAAGAGCTGGAGTGAATGTGAACTGAAATTTGACATAATTTTTATAATACTGAAGACCATTTTCATTATATTCTATCACATTGAGGAAATTAAAAAAAAACAAGGATCACAAATGCATTAAAATGATTCAATTATACTGATTTGCATCCAATATGTTCCCCATGTAATTAAAGTATTCCCAGTGCTGACATTTTAAAAGAACAATATAAACAGTGAACCAGAATAAAATTAGAAAGTCAGTAATTAGAATAAAAAGCATTATTATTAAGAAAACATATGATGTAGACAGTAGGGCACTACAGAATTTTTTAATAGTTTTACGGTTTTTTAACTGTCGAAAGTAATTCTGATGAAGATTGCACCACAATAGCAAAATGCCATAATCCCTGGAGTGAGCATTAACACAGAAGTCTAACATTTAGTTTTTTAACTAGAAAACTACACCCTCATATGGAAGTTTCCATTGACACTACAGAGTTTTCATAGGCAAAATAGTACTTTTAGTCTCAAAGTGATAAATTTACAAGAAATGTAATTTTGGGAAGAATATTTTAAAACTATATTAAACCACCCACTAGAAATAACATTTAATTGTAACATTACTCTGAGAGTCTTGTTGTGTAAAGTGCTATAAACCAAGGATCAACCATCTTGGTACCTAAAGGTATTGACTTTGTGTGCCAACTCGTGCTTGGCCTCAGCTCACTAGCAATAGAAGGAAAGAAGCCACAGGGAATGGAGCATGTGTGGGTGTGCTGCAGCCCATGACCTTTGTTTACAAGAGAAGAGTACAGGCCATGTTCCAGAGAGTTCTAGTTGGACACTAGTTTTAAATTCAATTTTACAGAGAACATTCAGCTCATTTACTGTTGAGCTCACTTATAATCATACATAGACTCTGACATGTAGGACTTGCCTGACACTGGTTCTCCTCCCGCTTTTCCATAATTCCTTATTATTCTCAGTGTGTAGACTTCTAATGATGAGAAAATTTACCAGAAGTGCACTGACTTTGTAATGCTATACTTTATTTAAAAAAATAATGTATTCATTGAACAAAATGTTGGACTTTTATTTAAAATTTTAAAACCTGTAAGAGAATCTATGCAGACATGGTGAAAGCGATCCTCTGTCCTCATAATTCTGGAAGCACTCGATTGTTCTCTGTTGATACTGTGCCTCTGCCATGTTCATCCTTTCTTGTCCACTTGTGCCCTCTTGCAAGTGTATCTCTTCCCAGATAGCCTAGTTCTGCACTTTTGTCACAGTAGCTTTCTATATTTATTTATTTGGGATATTATAATACAATTACATATGTCACTTATACATTCCTGTTCCTCCCTTCAAACCCTCCCATGTATCCTTCCTTGCTCTCTTTAAATTCATGAACTCTCTTTCCATTAATTGATGTTACAAACACACACACACACACACACTTTATCAAGCCCCCGTATGTTTCAACCTGCATTCACACCTTATCTTCCTTATCAAACATGCACACACACACACACACACACACACACACACACACAAACTTAAATTATTTCCAACTCAAATTAGACAAATTAGTTTTTGAAAACAACCTGTTATCAAATTAGACATTGCTATTCCATCAAAATATATTCAAAAATAATACTAACCTCTTCAGTCCTAAAGATTACCTTGAAATAAACATACATATCACTGATAAAATGAACACATCAAGATTTCTTCTTTAAGTTTCCCTTATCAGCTTACTGGGATAGAAAGCCCAGCAGATTCACTTTGTTATTCATGACACACAGGAGACTAAGGCCCTTGGTAACAGTGAGAACTGCATTACTGAGTACTTTGCTCAGGGCACACAGATATATCTATTCAACTTCTCATATACCTAACATTTTGCTTAGTGTGTGACCCCATACAGTTAATAGAATATAACTATGCAGACAGGGTACAAGTTTCTTGTCCGCACATGGCTTGAAGCATTTGCTTTTTTTCTCTGTTGACACGTTGTCCTTTGAAAGAACCTATTAGACCACATTTTGGCTCAGTGGAGCATAGACTGACATGGGCTGAGAGGATGTTCAATTCTCAGCATCATAGTGTGGACTAAAGCGGCAAGAGTGTTGACTCATTTCTTGGCTACCCTCCAGTTGCAACAGAGAACTGGGAGTTACTAATAATGTGTCAGTCGTTTACATATTTTAGCTCAATAGAAACAAAGATAAGTTTGCTTTCAAGGAAATACCTATGGCCCCTCTCCAAGGCATGTATTCCCTCAGGGATGGCCACTCCTTACTGCGAAAGCTCTCTGCCATGTCTGAGACAATCTGAAGAGTATTGAGAACAGCACTTCTCATTCCTGTACCTCATAGACTCTGAAGTGAAATGGATAGACTTTGCTTCTAACACCAGGAAAGGCCCAAGGAGCTTTGTAAAATGACTCAAGCATCTTTCCTGGTTCATCTTCCCCCACTTTGTGGTCCCATTTTCTTTCTGCATTTCTAATTACTTACTAAAAGTGAAGCGAAATCTCCTGAATAATGTGATTCCTTTTATTCCCCTGAAACAAAAATCAAACCTCCTAGAATTACTCTTTTCTTTCAGAGTATCAGAAGAAAAACATTTATGTAAGGAATTTATAAATCCAAGCTTATTAAAATATAATAAATTAACAGCTCAACTAGAGGTTAGAGAGATAGCTCAGCTGTTAAGAATTCTAGAAATCCCATGATCTCTTTGGGCCTTACAGGGCACTATGTATATGTACAGACATACATGTAAGCAATATATGACAAATGAATTTTAAAAAATTTGTGTTCCAGTAAGGATGGCACCCTGTGTTCTTTCAACTCTACATTGATATTAGCCTTATAGAACAATGTATTTACTGTATATTTGTATCTATGAACACAATTGTATATATGTCTTTGAAAAGAAAGTAAAGCTTTAGTGATTCAGTTCTTTCTAGGCAAGCAAGAATAGACTCTGATGCATTTAGTGTACAGTGAACAGTACTTACTGCATCTTTTCCTTTCATTATGCATTCTTCTACTTTTACTGCTGTGCTAGGCCAGTATATCTGAAAGTAAAGATAAGGGATCATTAGGGCAACTATATTTAGAAGTAAACATCATTAAAACCATTTCATGCCAGGCGGTGGTGGCGCACGCCTTTAATCTTAGCACTTGGGAGGCAGAGGCAGGTGGATTTCTGAGTTCGAGGCCAGCCTGGACTACAGAGTGATTTCCAGGACAGCCAGGGCTACACAGAGAAAACTTGTCTCAAAAAAAAAAACAAAAACAAAAACAAAAAACAAAAAAAAAACCAAACAAACAAAAAGAAAACATTTCATTTTCTTCTACAATTCAATGTATTGACATTTTGTTTGACTTTCTGAAAAGACAAATGAAACCTTATTCTTTTCAGATAATTGTTTGGGTGATGAAGAAACTTAGCGATGAGCCTTCACTTCAAGCTAAATCTGTTTAGCAATCCTTAATCTTTCTGGCAGTTCATTTCACTTCTTGGACCACCAGAGCAAGTCTCGCTGGAACTGCAGTCCTCAACCTGTGGATTGTGACCCCTTCAGAGGTCAAATATCAGATATTTACATTATGATTCATAACAGTAGCAATAACTTAACTATGAAGTAGAAACAAAATAACTTTATTGTTGTGGGTAAGCACAACATGAGGAACTGTATTACTCACATCCTTAGGAAGGTTGAGAACCACTGGTAGAGAACCCACTCGTCTCCATATTTCACCTGCTGAAACCTCTGCCATCAATTGTATTGGTGAACCAGACTACTTGTGATGCCAATACCAGCATGCCCTTGGGTTTCCTGAGTCCCTTTTGTATTTTTACCACCAAGCACAGAATGTTTGTGCTACAGGCAAGCATGAAAGGATGGATGACTCTTAAATGCATCACTGCATCATAACAAGTCACAGACACACCACAGCTTTGTGTAGCTAGAGAGAGAGTTTGTGGACAGCTATACCTATAGAACCCCTTGTACTGCCTTACAAAATAAAACTGTTTAACTCTTCTGGCTTCCAAATGGATTTGAAGTTGTCATGATATCTCAAGTTTGTTGGTTTCTTTCTTAAAGAGGAGAATATAAAACAAAACAAAGCAAAGCAAACCAACCAAAAAGATCCTCTTCTTTGTCCACACTAACCAGCACTTTGCTGAGCCCAAAACAAACAAAAGGAAACAAATAAACAAACAAAAAAAACTAGTTTTTTCATAATTTCTATCATATTATTATTAAAATAAATGGTTTTCCTTATCATTATCTTTCCCCCAGCTTCTTCCTCTTCCTCCTCCTCCCCCTCCCCCTGCTCCTCCCCCTCCTACTCCTCCTCTCTTCCTCTCTTCCCCCCCCCCAGCATGAACTACAGAATCAGTTTACAAGGGGCCACATACTGCATTGATAACTATAATTTATTTTTCCTTTTGCATTATAAACATGTGCACAGAGGTTTCAGTTTGTTACACTGTCTAAGCCATTGCCCATTATCACCAAGTGCCTGAAAGTCATCCCTCCCCTGAGTTTTAGTTACTCATTCTTTCTTCCTTTTCTGGCCATCTGACTTACCATGCAGGAGCCCACTGTTCTAACTTGTCACTGGATACATTTTTTATGCTTGCATATGTTCATATGAAGTACTTAATATTGCTATTGTGTTCATACTTCTAATTTATGTAATCGTATCTCAGCCTCATATTTATTTTAGCAAAGTCTATGTGAGTAAGAAAGTATTTTTGTGCCTCTTATGTCTTCTTTAGATTTCTCATGGTTCCTGTCTGTGTTTTGAGCTGAATTTGTCTGCAAAAGCATTTTGATTATCAAGCTGAATGTTAGACATTTCCTTTCATTTAATAGTTGGTCAACATCAAAAATGAGAAGTCCTGTTTAAATATCAAGTTTTCTGATGACTCAAAAAATAAAAATAAGATAAAAAGCAGGCTGTACAGGATATATCTTGTGTAGCAAAGCCAGGGCCAAGACTCTTTGTAGTTATGTTTCAGTGGGGCTGGTACCCATTGAAATATTGCTGGCTGGCTTTCATCAATCATCCTGCTAAGCAGTTTGGTTTTGAGATCTGATGCTTATATTTTTAATCCCACCTATGTTTACAATTTAAGTATTCTTTTAAAAGCTCATATACCACAAAAAGTGATTCTTATCCAGAAGTGAGTGGGGGGCTCATCATGTCAGTCACATAGGATACAGCCTGATCCAGGGTTGAAGCAGGAGTCATACTGAGAATTTACAAAATGATGGCTACGGCATTTTTCATGTGTGACTAAGTTTATTATCATCTGAGTGAGCACTCTGCTTTGAATTTTGGCTGGTCCTTGACTTCTCAAGAGTTTCTTGCAGACAATTACTTATATCAGAATATTTTGTACCTTTCAAAGTGCATCATTTGAACCTTACATGAAAGCCTATTAGTTTCTTTATTGTAGTTGTTGGTGGTAGTATATACAAAGACAATACAAAGGACAACGTAATCCAGAAGAAAATTACCTTTAAAAACAAAAACAAACAAACAAAGAAAAAATAACATAAAGCATATACATAAAATCTTATAATTGTTGCTCCGTGTTTCTGCATCAGTGGGTTACATGCAATGAATCAAGAAACAATATAAAAGTGTTGGTGGGATGGATCCTAGAAGTGAATCTACAGCATTTATGATCTTTATCCAATCTAGTATTTATTTATATTCTTTCAAAATTGCCCTAAGACATATTCTTCAATGATTAATAAAACCTATCCTACCAAGTTGATAATTATGACATTACTGTGGATTCAGAATTTATTCAAATTGATGTGTTAAATTATGCATAAAAGACTTCATATACAGATAAGCATATGCACATATGTATATCTTAAGGTAAAAACTCATTTTGATATGTTTGCCATTTTAGGACTAGGTTTATTAATATGGACAAATTAGAATAAGTATCATCAATAATTCAGAATAATGCCTTCTAACCTTAACATACCTAAGAGATACAGGAGTCTTCACAACGTTGTCATCCTTTCTTATGCACCTTATCTTCAGTATAAAATGATCATTTCTTTAAACGTATCCTGAGAACATATCCTATGTATTCACTTACATCTTCATAATGATTTTTTCCAAACTCACTGTTTTGATGGCAAATCTCCGTAACATTTCTACTTATCTTCTCATGATTTCTATTCTAGTCTATCTTTCCAAATCGGTAGCAAAGACACAGACAAAATTTTATGTATGGAAAAAGGGAAATTTGTTCATTGGTCAGGAAAAGGAAGATGTCTCTCTGGCTAAAATTTAGACAATTTTGCTGACAGCCTGCTGCTCTATCTAAAGACAGACTTTCTGAGCTTTTGATTCCTGAGATGTAAAGCATTCGCTGTTGAGTGGTGTCTACTGCGGCTTCTAGGCATTGCTGCTTGTGAAACTTAACCTGGAGATCCTGTTCCCTGCTATTTCTGACTAATAAGTGTCCTTTGTCTCTTGCCCCAGGAGGAAAATGCTTTATGACGAAGTGTATGAAACTGTACAGGGTGACTTACCTCGAATATGATGTAAAACCTTAGGCCCTTAGTGTTGGGAGCCGACTCCTAGCTGAAAGCGGCTATCATCTTTACAGCCATCTCGAGCCATATACCCTGACAAGAGACTTGTTTTCAACAGCCCGCAACAGCTGAGCACACTCTGATAAACATCTTGTTACACTGTTTAGTGCCCCCAGCTGCAAGGTGCTCCTGGTATCCATGGCTACAAGGCACATGACGTAGTGCCTTCAGTTGAGCTTGTCCACGAAGGCAAGTCATGTGGTGAAGGGTATAAATACACAGGATTTTCCTTTCTATGTGTGGAAGGAGTGAGGAGAATATAGGAGAATAGAAGGAGTGAGGAGAATATAGAAAAAGAGAGGAGAATAAAGAAGAGACTTGAAGAGACTCGGCCAGACTCTGTCTTGTATCTATCTTTTGCATCTCTCACCCCTTTTTCGCCCTTCCTCTGTCCCCACTCTCTCTCTTGCTAGACCCTAACCTGCAGACCAGAACAACAGAACCAGCCGGCCTTTACAAAGTAGCAGAACCAGCCGTTACAAAAGAAACGGACGTTACACCTTAGTAGTTTGAACCAAACAAAAGTGAATTTATTATATAGTAGTCATGACAATAAATACTGTTTTTAAAACTTTCAGAACAAGCATTGGTCCTAGAGCAAATCTACTAAGGACACTTATTCTAAAGATGATAAATCCAATCTTGCAAGCATGTTTTGCAGAGCGATTCTCAACTAAAACCTTTCCAGATATCTTTTCATCAGACAATATTTCTCTTACTTTGATCCCTCTGATATTTTTGTTTGTGCAAATACTACAATGATTTATATACTTCATTTTAGCTCTCTTACTACAATCCAAAGAACAAATCCTGTGAATGTCAGTTGGAACGATGGTTTAGATGGTCTATTTACTCAGTGTCTCATGATTGGCACCTTTATCACATTTTTGTAAAGACAATCCAGCTAAAAAGATCTCACTGTGAACTCTGAGAGATACAGTTCACAGACATGAAAATGTCTTAACAAAAGTCAACTGAAAAGTAAAAATTTCCAGGTTTATCAAGGGGAGGGATGTTGTAGTATAGTCACAGTGACCCTAGCATCCAAAGATTTGAAGGATCACAACTGGTAAAATCACAATAGGATCACAAAGGGAAAAATGATGAAATCATTCTAAATAAAAAGAGAAGGAAAAGAGACTGGCTTATAAACTCTACAGTAAAGTTCATGCATGGGAATTTTTTTTTTAAAGTTTTGCTGTTCTGGGGTTTATTTTGGAGGGATTTTGTTTGCATGTTTTAATAGTTTAACATTCTCAAGTCTATACAAAGGTTAACTAGATGACAAAATAAGACAAAGTGTCTTCAATGAAAATAGAAAGTTATATTTTTAAAGTCATCGTGTGTAAATGCTCTGCCAAGCTAGTAAGGAAAATCGTTCCTTCATTTGCTTTGGCAGTCCGGATGTCTTTTGGTTCTGCTCCACAGTTTAGCATCCA